AAAGTAGGTGGCCGTGGGCCAGTCTTGATCTCAGTTCAACCTACCTCATGAGCATGGTGCAGAGGAGTGAGGGGGGAAAGTAAGAGAGCATCCTAGAGGAAGGACCAGATGAAACCATAATAAACAGTAGATGAATATATATGTTGTTAGAGATCAAAGAACTTCCCAGTGTCCTTTTTAAGCATCGACTGCCTGGTCTGTGTGTGGAAGATCTGCCTGACCAAAGTGCATGACTTGTAGCATGAGGCCCACAGCTTCTCAAGAGAAGAGAGTTAATTTGAAGTTTTAAAACCCTCCTGTTCGTGTATCCCTCTCTCTTCCATGTCGTGCCAGATGAAAATCCCTTTCATTGTGCTGGTTACCAACTGTGCAAATTAGAAAGCTCTTACGTGAGCTTAACAGTTTTAAAAAGTTGGTATTAGTCCTTTGCTTTGGCAGGAACATCCCATTAAGGGCCATTTAAACACGATCATAAAGGGCCAGAAGTCCTACAAGAGAAGCAGTGATATGAGGTCCACTATAGACATTTTAAGCCTATTGCTTTTGAGGTCATTAAAAGTTTGCTTCATCCCTTCACAACTGCTGTGTGCTCTGCCAAAGAAATGGAGCTCACCTGATTGCAAGTCCATAATTCAGGCTTAAAACTGTAGCAGCGTATTAAAAATAGCTTTAACTTAGCCACTGGATGGAATAATACTTAAGGTTTGTTCACAAAATCCAACCTAGTATGGCTAATAAAGAATGACTGCTGCTTAAAAGCCATGGGGGGGGGGCAGTCACATATGGCCCTCCAGATGTTGCTAGGTTGCTATGGCCATAATCCCTGACCATTGGCAATCCTGCCTGGGGTTGCTGGAAGTTCAAATCCAAGAGCATTTGGAGGGCCAGAGACACCTCTGCTCTCCTCTAGGGTTCTTTGGCCCAGCATCTCAGGTGGCAGATGTTGTGTCACCATTAAGGAAGGCAATTTCATGACATTGTACTGGGCTTCCCTTCCTCAGGGAGCAAACTGTCTTGGGATCTTTGTATGATACTGTGGTTTGACAGACCATTTCCTTCTGGCAGGGAAAAAGCAGTGATAGGAATATTGCCAGCATTGCCCAAAGAGCTTTGGCTCTTGGGCAGCATAAAAATGAAATGAAGAGCAGGAGGAGGAGGAGGAGGAGGAGGAGGAGCCTCTGGATGAGACTGTCCATCAAGTCCACCATTTTGTTCCAACAGTGGCCAGATGCCTTTGGAAGGCTCACAAGTACGACGTGAGCACCATCCTGCTTGTGTTTCCCAACAAATGGCCCTTGGAACCATACTGCCTCTGGTAGCAGACATGATGTATAGTGACCAGTAGCCTTCAATACTCTTTTCAGTCCTGCATTTGTCTGCTCCCCCTTCACAGCTGTTCACATGGGTAGCCATCACTGTATCTTGTGGTAGTGAATTCCACAGTTTAACAATGTAATGCTTGAATAGGGATTTCCTTTCAAACCAGTCAGTTTCATGGGATGACCTCAGTTCCAGTGTTATGAGATAGGGAGATGTTTTCTCCCTTTCTGTTTTCTGTGCACCAGGCATAATGCTATACTTCTGTCATTCACCCCCACCCCTTTTTTCCCTTTGTTCAGAGTCAAACCCGCTCACTTTTGATCATGTTTTTTGCCCCTTTTCAACTTTTTCTGTTTCTATTATATCTTTTTTTTTTTGAGGTGTGGTGACCAAAAGTATATCCAATATTCCGATGTGATTATGAAGGCATCCTGATATTGGAAATTAGGCAGAGCTATTTTCAGTTCCTTTCCAATGGTTTCCTTTTCCAATGGTTTTTCATAGCAGCTGCTCAATTTTTCATTGAGCCTTCTGCTGTATCCCTAAGATTTTCTGTATGGCCACTCATTGCCAGCTCAGCCCCCAGTGGCATATGTGTGAAGTTATGATTTGGGAGGGCTGACTGTGCCCTCTAGCTTTTATATCACAAGCCGGATTCACAAGACAATGAAGACCCGAAGCACCGTGTCCCATTTACTTTCCAGTAGATTGATTTTAGAATAATCAAATGAGCTTTGATTCGGATGAAGTTCTGACTCATTGTTTGTATGTTCCTGGGGTTGGCAACAAAAGGAAGGAAAGAAATAATACTAGAGTCAGTTGCATCTCCGGAGAAGGCTGTAATTAGCTGATTGGAAAGGAATTTGGCCTGAACTTCCAGTTGACATCCAATGGTTTTGGCCATGACAACCCAGTATTCAGTCAAGTAGAGAGCTGTGATGCCTCTGAAGACTGACTGGAGTCTTTTGATGAACACAAGCTGGCCATGATCCTGAAAACACTTATTTAAAAGACAGTCTCATTGCTTTCCATGGGATTTTTGAAACCTGGGAAAGTTAGCAAGCAAAAGTCTTTCAGGATAAGAGCAATGAACAGATGTCACTGACTATAGCTAGGTGGAGAACAGTCTGCGTAATGTTTTCACTACCTTTTAGATAGTGAGTCAGCGGTGCTTCTTACTTTTAGAACACAAAATAATAATTGTTCTCTTCATAAGGAGTCATCTTGCTGAAGGTCAAAGTGAATGGCTCAAGACTTTGACATCAATTCCCTCCTTAGGTAAGTAGCTCCACAATTTTTACATGATAGCTGCAAATTATACTCTCACTCAAGTACCTGCCAACACTCTCAACCAGCATAAAATGCACCATTTCCCATAGCTTAGTGTCATTTAAAGGGGGGATTATACTTGTGCAGTTGCTGCACTGTGCTCATGCAGTTCACAGTGGCCATGCATACTGTCTGACGGTGCTTGTTGTTGCTGGTTGGGGACTCCCAGTTCACTGGAACAATATCCCCATGTTAGCCTGACCCAACAACAGACCTGGCATTGGCTTTGCATTTTCCTGTGGGGCCGATATAAGTGTAAACTGGCTGTACACCTAGTGACAAAGCAAAATATTTGTTCTGTTTGCCTGGAGCTGCGATGCAAGATGCAAAGCGAACCCACTTCAGAGGAATTCCTCCCAAGGCCAAATTGGCTAGTGACAAATTTGGGATTTCCCATTCTTGAAGCATCCAATCTGGCTGACTTGCTTTAATCATCTGGTCAGACTGGTTGCAGAAGCGGCACTGAGCACTCTACTTGGCTCTTTGCTTATATCATGCTGGTCTGTACTGGGACAGCTGTTGCACAGCAGACTGGCGGATCGTGGCCCTCCCTTTGCTGATGTCAAGATGGGGCTAGGAAGCAACCACCTTGCCTCCATCCAGTCAGTTTGATTGCAGGCAGTTCAGCATTCATGAGCACCCCTTTGGGAAATACTCAGTCCTTCCCTGTTCCTTCTTCCCTCCTGCCTGTGCCCTTCTGCCTCCTCTAGGGCTCCTTCTTATGCAAGTTTAGGTAGCAAAAGGGCCTACAGTTCCCAGGCATGCTGGCTGGGGCATGCTGCAAGTGGCAGGTGCTTTTACTTCGTAAACTTGCGTAGGATTGAGGCTTTAGATTATGAGTTTAATACCAGGTGCCTGCCTGTGCCTGGGGAGAGTAGTGGGGGGAAATCCTCAGTTACAATCTCTATAGCAAGATTGTTTAAAAACCTATATTGTATTATATCTTGTGGTATTTGAAAGCAAAGGTAAGCAGCAAGGGGCTGTCATTCAGATCCAGCCACCCCCTGTCCCAATATGTCCCACCATATTTCGCAGCCCCAAAAAAACCCTATTTATGTCTATAGTCCCATGGGGGATACTAAAATGTAGCTTTTATCATGTGGAAGTCGACCCTTGTAGTGCTGCCCAACTGCTATGCTGTCCTGTGTAAAAATGGTCAAACGTGGCATTCGACCAAGTTAAATTTGACCTTTGAAGTACTCCATAGCTTTCTGGACAGCTATCCAAATAAACGACAACTCTGTCACATGCAGTGGGGGAAATGAGGGTAGCAGAGGTAAAATGTCCCTTTTTTCCTTTTTGAAATGGGGTGTGGCTGACAAGGATGTGCAGGTTGCAAAACGGCTCCCTAATCTTTCATAGTTGCCCACTCCTGTCCTTAAGGGTAATAGTGCTTTGGATGTGTCGAATGGTGGGAGAACAGCTCTCATCCCCTTTGGAACAAGAATTTTCTTTTCCTCTCCTATATTTCTATACAGCCTAATAATCACAGCTCTCTGAACAGTTTACAGATGTTACAACCTTTCAAAATGCCATGTTATGTAAACTGAAAATTCATTTTGATTCCCATATATGGACCAACCAAATGGACATGTCCACATAATTCCCATAATTTGCAGATAGCATGGCCAAAGATCAGGAATGCTGGGAGTAGTAGTCCGAAACATTTGGAGGGCACCTGGGTGGGGATGCATTCTTGGATTTATTCTCCTGGTCTCTTTCTACTAGCCAAGTCAAGGCATGGCAGTTTTTAAAAAAAAGAGTCCTCACTGAAATTTGCCATCTTTTATCTTTCTTGTTTCCTGCTTCTGAATTATCCCCTTCTCATGACTCAGTTGTCTACCAAATTGTGTCCCCAGCTCTGTCTCCAGACCCTTGAATATTGCATAAAGGGCCTCTGAGTAGAGACTCTGTCACTTCAGTCTCCTGTAAGGGCCTTGCAACTGGTTGAAGAAATGCTTAGTAGCAGCATTTGTAGTAACCAGATCTGTGCCTCTTGCTGCTCATGAGACGCTGACTAGGCAGAAGGCCCTGGTAATCCAGAAAGCGCTTCATTGTCATCCGCACCTGTTGCGTGCTGCTGACACAGAGGAAGTTTCTTCTATAACTGTGGGCCCAGTTAAAATAAAATACCTGGCATGCATCTGAGCAACATTTTTTAGTAATCCGTGAAGCTCCCAAGAGGGAAGCCCACTCAGGCAGCATTCTCTGCAAAACAAGCACTTAAGCAGCCCTCCCTCTTCTGGTAACTGTATGAGTGCAACCAAATCTCTGAATGTCTTTCATGAGTTTGCAAAGATGCTGTTTCCTGGATGCCCATCTTTTCTCCTGAATTTCGTTTCTTATTTCAGGATGGCCTGGAAACTTGCTTTATCCTTGTTTCTTGTGTCTGCTCTGGCACACATCTCCGAAACCAGGAAGAACCGCCCTGCGGGGGCCATCCCCTCCCCTTACAAAGACAGCCGCAGCAACAACTCAGAGAGGAGGCAACACCTAAACAAAGAGGTGCTGGCCTCGAGCCAGGAGGCCCTCGTGGTCACGGAGCGGAAGTACCTGAAAAGCGACTGGTGCAAGACACAACCGCTGCGGCAGACCGTCAGCGAGGAGGGCTGCCTCAGCCGCACGATCATCAACCGCTTCTGCTACGGCCAGTGCAACTCCTTCTATATCCCGCGGCATGTGAAGAAAGAGGAGGAGTCATTCCAGTCTTGTGCCTTCTGCAAGCCACAGAAGGTCACCTCCTTCACTGTGGAGCTTGAGTGCCCAGAACTGGACCCCCCGTTCCGGCTCAAGAAAATCCAGAAAGTCAAGCAGTGCCGATGTATGTCTGTGAACCTGAGCAGTACAGGGAAACCACGAAAGTGAGGGCAAGCGGCAGACCCTGCCAGAGGTCTTGCGGCCTCTCTTTCTTCCTACACAAGCGAGCTGATTGTTTTTCCTCCTGGAACAGTGCCACTTGCACCATTTGCTGACTGGAGATGCAGGCTGCTCTGGGCTGGGCAGATGGTTCCATCTCTATCACCCCTGGTTGGCTGTTTGACCGTTGGGCAGGTCTGTGCGCCAAGGTAGAAGCCAGAGTCCAATTTGGGGAGGAACGTCCAAATGGCAGTGGTTTAAATCCAGCGGTTAACACTTCCACCATGTGGAAAATATTTGGCTTTCACTCCATCCTTACGTTTGGATGAAAAGGTGGCCCAGTGAAGTCTTCCTTGTTTCTCCTGGTCCTTTGGGGACATTTCATTTCATTTCATTTTTGACAGCCCAGTGCAGTCTTCCTTGGGCTGTAATGTTGACATCAACAGCAGGGGTCTTTCTGTCTGGCCTGACTGGAAAGGCAGTTTAAATAGCATGGGAGTCTTATCCGCCATGGAGAGCATCAGCCTCCCACCACCTCCCGCAGAAGAGACCGAAGATGGATTTATACACACTTTCAGCTAGGTTGCCTCCAGCACATATTTCTACAGCGATGTTTCACTCACAATGCAGCATAGCAAATTGTTAAAACTTGTTCATGTAGACATAGGTGCGTATATTTGCAAGATTGTTAATTATTTGAAGGGTTAAGATAAAGTATCTTAACTACTGGGCCACATCCTCCCTAAAAGGAGGAGGAGGAGGATTTTGCTTGTATTACCTTTCTCAGTAGACTTCTGCATTATTTTAACCCTTCCTTCCATCAAGCCACTATTGTGCATTTATCTTAACCTATGTTGAGTCAATATGTCCATGGAGGAAAACAATGCTGTGTTAAACTTATGCAAACACAGTAGCAAAAAGCAAGCAAAGTGCTGTATGTTATTACTGTGTGGAAGACAAACAGTACCTTAACTTGAGCATTATTTGCTTTGTGCAAAATTGTAATCTATGTAGAAAAAAACATTTACTGTATGAAGTGACTTGCTCATCCTGATTCATACCATGTTGCATGTCTAGGTTTAGCTTGTTCCACATGTGCCCACTTAGAGTCCTCTGGAATTTGTTGAGTAACACACTGACAGTGAGCCATCACCTAGCTTGGAGCTTTGCCATGCCTGTCGCTGCCGGAACCTGGTGCGCACAGAAATCTTATTAAAAACGTCCTCGATGTGTCCACCAAAAGGGTTAAATAAATTGCAAATCCCTCAAGCTGTGGGGTTGGTGCCAACTCCAGAGTTCAGTGGCACAGTTCTCTATTATGTGAGACAGGCTGTTCTAAGAGGCTTTGGGGGGCTGATCTCTGTTCGGGCTCACCAATCGGTTTATGGGGATTGGCACGGGGAGGGGGGATTGGACAGGTATGTTAGCCGTATATTTTTCTCTCTTGGAGTTACACAATGGCAGAGCTGCACTTGGGAAATCTAATAGAGAAGGCTAAGATTTGCTGTGGAGGCTACAATGGGCACACTGTGCCACTACTTACTCTTTGGCTGATCAGAACTCATGTTTGGACAGGACAAAAGGAAGAGAAGGTTTAGGATAGCTGCTGCGTCATAAATAGGCAGCATGTGACAGGGCTGCTGCTTCTTGGAGAAAGAGAAGCTTTCAGACTCCAGTGGAAAAATTGTCCAGCATCTATGTGAAGAAAAACATTGGCAGGTGGGGCAAATCCTAATATGGGTAGGTCTCCTTACCAGTTTGTGATAAACAGATTATATATGCTGCAGTTGGGGAATGTCTCCATGGGTTTGTTTATGTTTATAAGGAAGAGTTGAGTTGACCTTGTAATGGTTCATACTATTTAATTTTTGTTTTGTAAATGAAAACAAAATGGAAGAAATGTTATAACTATAATGTAATTATTTTATAGGTGTATTATTATTAAATTATAGAACAAATAAAGATACTCTAGGAATATATGGAACTCATGCATACTTGCTTCATTGGGATATTTTACATGCACCACTCAATGAATAAACTTTGTTTATTCTCACAATTTTCTCCAAAGTGTTTTACTGATGGGTGTTTTGAAATTGATGAAAGCAATTGAACAGCACTTTGATTTGGAAGGGCCCAAATTCTGCACTTACAGTTAACTGTTTAGAAGAAATCCTGAGCATACGCTGAGATTCTGAAAAATCACAAATCCACTATTTAGCACTCTCTTTGTAGTTAGCACAACTTGTTACCCACAAGATGTACTAGACTACAGCTTCCATCACTCCAGTCACCATGTTGCATGGGCATGATGGTTTGGTGATGGATGCTGAAGATCAATGTATCTGGAGAGCACCAGGGAGGGGAAGGCTGTGATAACAGCAACAAGAAGTCACATCTGTTTCAATCCTAGTCACCTAAGAAGTTTAGAAAAACAGTGAATAAGGGAGATGTGATAGAGGTGTACAAAATTATGCAGGGTGTGGAGAAAGTGAATGTGGAAACATTTCCCCCCTCTCCTATAATACCAGAACCTGGGCTCAGCCCATGAAGCTGATTGGTGGGAGATTCAGGACATATAAATGGAAACACTTTTTCATACGGTGCCTAGTTTGCACTTCCAAAAGAGACCAGTATGAAAGGCTTTGAAAGGACTGGACTAATTGGTGTTGGTTAAGACACTCATTTGCTAATGGAGTTAACTGTTCTGTGCTCCTTCCAATATCAGAGGCAGCATGCCTGTGTGCAGAGTTGCTGGGGAACATGGGTGGGAGGGTGCAGTTGCGCTTGCCTGTGGACGGCTGCTTGGCTGCTGTGTAAACAAAACACTGGGTCTGACCCAGCATGGCTTTGCTCATGTTCTTATCTTTGGCCTGCTTTTCTCTCTTTACTCCAGCTCATCCAGCTATGTCACTTTCATCACTGCAAATGTCTGAGTCTTTTTACTCAGATGTCTTGGGCTACCAAAGGCCACCTGCACCAAAGAGACAACACCAAATGACCATGAGCACATGTTGATGTGACACAGCCTTCATCCTTCTTTTTTGAAATATTTAGGGAGTTTTTCCTACCCACTTACATGTGTGTAAACATAACTGAACTCATTGGGAATTTGACTTAATAGGCTTTTTCCTTTGCCTTTAGGTCCAATAGAATGTCTTCAGATCCAAATGCTTTCTGTCAAACAAATCATTGTGGTTCTACTAAAAAATGGTAGCAAAAGAATTTCAGCTTGTAGAAAATGACCTTTCTGCCATCAGAACATCAGCCTGACTTCAAATTCATGGGACTCAGTAGCATCTTTTGATAAACCACCATTGGAGCATCACATGGAGCCCGTCTTGCTCAAATACCACAAGAGAACACCCCTGGTCTGGCCATGATAGTGCAACAATTCTCCATGGGCAGAGTATGTTGTACTTTTCCATGTGAATGTCATGGAACATTGTAGTAGCTCTCTTGACAATATACCATGACGCGATTCTGGATTACTGTTCCTTAGCCAAGTACCTCCAAGGCCACAGTGGTTGGTTGAGTGAGGACAGGGTTAGGGTATGTTTTGAGATATCACATCTCAGTCTTCTTGTACTGTGAGCTGCATTGAGTACCAAGGTAGAAAGGTAGAGTATAAGCTAATTAAATATAAAACAAAAATAGGAAATATTTGACCCATTACTTTTAGGAAAAGAAATGAAGGACTGCAACAACCTTCTCCAACCTATTGCTTTGGAATTCAAATTATATCAGCCCCATCCAGTATGGTGAGTGGTCAGGAATATTGGCAGTTATAGTCCAAAATATCTAGGGAAGATCAAGTGGGGCATAGTTGGACTACATCAATACTGGTCTAATTCGGTAAGGCAATTCCAGTGCACTTACATTGCGGACAAAATGAAGTCTCATGCCTAGGCAGTCATATTGCCAAGAGTCAGATTTTGAACTCTTCTCTAGTACAAACATGGGGTTGAATCCAGATGCACTAAAATCAATGGGACTTTTGAAACCAGCTTAAGTATAACTACATCTGGATCCAATCCATACTTTCTTCTTAAGGTTATATAAACTGCCCCTATGCGAGCCATTCTTCCTGACACTGGAAATGTAGCTACGACTTACCCATCCTTTGAGGTTACCATTGAAAGCACTTGTAGCAGAGGATTTTAAAGAACATCTAGTGGATCTAGTAGCAGCTGTGCTATTCAGCAGAGTTTACAAAGCTAAGCCTGGTAGTCTGTAGGAGAACAAAAGTCTATCAAATTCATAAATAGGTGTCTTGGTCCTTTTCAGACATTAGCCTGCCATCTGGTGGTAAACATATAAATCAGTCAACTACAAGTTGTATCATTCAGAGATGTCCAAGACATGACTGTATTTCAGGAAAACATTTCCCGCTCCAGTGAGAACCCATATCTACTGCCTGTCTTCTTTAAAATGTATAATATGGCATCTTTCTTCTAGTGCGTAGCTCTTTGGAAGCTTTAGTTTATTGTAACTACATTTCAGGAGTGGTTGGACAGCTGGCACCTGTTGCAAGCAAGCGTTGCACACATGGAACACTAAGACCACCTGTAATTATTTCATCCTTTAACATTGCTCTGGACAGCTTCTCACCCTGTCTACACAAGTTGCTGTGGTCTGGTGGAGGAAACAAAAACAAGACAAGGAGAGAACAGAATCACAGTGAGTTTATCCATTTTGGTTCCTTCAAAAGGAGGGCAGATGAGAATGAAAGCTGAGGCATATTTTGCAGAGCAAATGAGTAATGACTAAATCAGCAAAAGATACCACACAATCAGTTAATACCGCTAAATAAAGGAAAACAAGCTGTTGGCTTTGGTTGTTCTGTATTGTGCTGTTTATTAAGTCAGCAGTGAAGAAACGTTTTGGTCAAGGCCCCAATTAACTTGGTCAACCCTGATGGTTCCATATTCCAGCAGTAGCCTTGGCCAAAGCAGAAAGAGGGCAGAGTTATAGACGTAATTCAGTTGACGTGTATGCAACAGAAAAAACATATTTGTCCAAGATATTTTCTTCCAAGGTTCCTGCTATCAACTTATTGTTCTTGGGAGAACAGAGCAAAACTGATAAAATAATACCAATAACCTAGACCAGTACTGATATAGGGATGTAACTGAGGAGACCTGGGGATCCAAACTGGGAGATGGAGGTAGCAGAGGCAGTGCGGAACTGAGAAAATGGAAGGGGACACACATGAGAGGCCAGTGCAAGGCTAAGTCGTGGTGCCTCCTCTAATATGGTGCCTGCCAACTGAGGGTTTTTAAAATATTTTTTTCTATTAAAAATACACACATTTCCTTCAACATGGCTTGCCCAGATGTTTAGTTAATCAAAAATATTTAATCAATCAAAGTTTTCATCCAACTAATAATGAGTATATAGTTTATATCAGAGTATTAAGGCCTATTTAACTTGAAAGATTAGAAGATTGTATTTTATAATAGTGACTTAAAGAACTTTTGATTTCTCAAGCTTTTCCATTCTGAGTGAGATTTCTGAAGCTTGCCTGTTCTTTCTTGCTGACTCTCTCCACACATCCCAGGCTGACTCCTGAACCCCAGCAGAAGTGGAAAGGGACAGATCTCAGCCTTGTGAAGAAGTGAGAGGGAAATGTTCTTTCCCACTTTCTCAACTCTAGTTATTTTTCCAGGTTGATTTGAATAGTTCAGCAGAAGGTGACATGCTCAGGATGGAACAAGGCCCACAAAACCTTCTAAGAGGAAAATAAATAAATCAATAAAGTTTGCCTGGATCTCTTTCTTTTTATGAGTCTATGCACCGTGTCCCCCCCCCCCCCAATGTATTTCTTTTCTCTCTGTCCAACCCCCATCTCCATGCTTGGTCAGTGTGTATGTGTCTGTCTTTCTGCCCGTGTGTCTGTTTCTTTCCTCCTCCCTGGTTCTGCATCTAGGCAGAGAATGACCAGGCTCCCACCAATTTAAGAATGACCAGGGCTGCCCCCCCGAGCAGCAATTTTGCAATGGCCTCCACAAGCATAAAAAGTCACTTTCCATCTGCAGCAACAGTGTGGCTATGATTGGATGCATCTTTGATACACAGTGCAAAGTCTCACTGAATACCTGGATATCCTAGTGTTGTCCTGTTTGTATCCTGCTGTGTGTCCAGCCCAATTAATACACAACTGGGATGTAAAAAAAAACTTATTCTGCAGAATAAAGATCCACAGAGGGTTATTCCAATCTGGCACCCTGAGTGGAGCTCAGAGCAGCCTTTTAAACATGTCAGCTCTAAACTTTAGTACATAATACACTTAGTTCCTTCTGATTGCTCGCAGAGTACTTTTGTAGCAATGATGAGCTTTTCCCATCTGCATACTAAGTGACAAGGTACAGGATGTCCCAGAAGGTGAAACTACAATCAGCTGTTTTGTTCTTTTCACTACCTTTCTTGTACATGTGTACATGTGTGGCAGGCTCTTTCTTAATGACGTTTAGAGTTCCCCTAAAGTTCAGCCTTCTTATCACCAGAGCTGTCCAGATGAACAAGATACCCCCAATTTACACCTTATTCCTCAAATAATCCGTATTCAGCCATGTCACGTACATTGGGACACCCAACAAGCCATTGCAAAAACTATGTGAGAAATATGAAAACATGTCCCAGGTAGCTATTACACATGGAAAACGTGTCTACTAAGCAGGTCGATTACCACTTGCACAGGTGATCCATACCAGAATTGCCCATTATTTACATTATGTCGATAAGTTCTCCCCAAGAGCGCACGGCATGAATTCAAGATTTGTTCTTTACACTATCAGTTTGTGCCAGTGAAACCGCTAATTACATTAATGCAGCAACACAGAGATGCATGTGGTGGAACAGAACTTCACATGGATCACAGTATGCCATTGAACAAGACTTTTGGAAAGTTGTGTAAACTTGTCCATACTAATTACATGTTGGATCTGCATTCCCTGATTCAGACACTTTCCTTGGCCCTTTGTACGCTATCTCTTAGGCTGTGAGTGTTTTCAAATAGGTTCCTTTTCATATTTCTATTTGTAGAAGGCAAAATGCCCACAGAATTATATACACAAATCAAGCTTGATTTTGTTATTTGTTTTATTTTTCATATAAATTAACATTCTAAAAAAAATTGGAATAGAAACACTAGATACAGTATTGCACATAGCGATCTTTGTTAAATGTACTATTATTTGATTTAGTATGGCAATATACATACTGTAGATACTGAAGGGAAAAGGAACTCTACAAAACATGCTACCATGTTTTTAAATGCATTTAAATGAAAAAAAGTGAAACAGCAAAAGACTACAGCTTACATAAATACAAACATGAGTTTTTATCAGTGCTATTAAAAATATCTTTTACTTCTTTATTTGCTTTTGATAGGTCTCTTGTAACAATCTTCTCTTTTCCCTTTCCCAAGAAATAACTTTATTCCTGACACACAGGATTTTATAATGTAGTTCTGGGAAAACATACAAAGGGACTATCAGGAACTATCCTGAAACAACAGAATTTCAGGCTGATCACATAACAGGAAACAATTTCCCTGGTGAATGAAAAATATATTTTTAGTGCTTGGCATTTTAAAAAGTCAATTCCTGAGGTCATCATTTATGCAGCCCTTGTGATTCCTGGAACCACATATTAAATTCTGGACAACCAGGTATCATGTACTGGGCTACTCAGAGAAAAATTAATTTCAGCAGACTAGAACTCAGTGTTACCCCAGCACCTTCCATCCTTAGGGGCTTTTGGACATATACACCATATGTTTTGGCTCTTTCCAAGAATTTTCAAAAAGCAAATGTTCTGCTGTGCGGAGGAGGCGCTGTAAATTAGTTTGGACTATTCATTCAGGTGGCTCTGGTTGCTGAGACTGAGCAGGTGCTAAACAGTGACAGCTGGTATGTCGTTTACAGAGTGGGTGCACATAAAATGTAAAGTTGGCAAAATCAGTAGTGTTATTTCGTTACCAGAAAACTAAGGCTCATAATACCATCCTTCATGATCTAGAATGGCACTATAAGAGAACACCTTTAGTTCTACAGACTGGTAGAAAGTCTACTGTAAGCTGCTTGTTATGCTGGAAACACATCAGTTTTGGGGGGAAAACCCAACAACCTATATGCAGTAATTCTCCAAGTCAGTCCTAAACTTTGCTACACTTCAGGCACAATCCTGCGACCAGCAGGCGCTGTCTGTCTGGCTCTTGGAAAAGGCAGAGTCACCACTACAACTTAGGAAAAGCCTTCAGAGGTTGTGGCAGGAAGCCCACCTTTGGAGGGTTCCCCTTTTGCCCTCTCAGTCACACCAGCCAAGCCCTGGAGATGAAATACTCCCATTGGGATGGGTGCAGAGGAGGCTTTCCAGGGGCCAGGGAGAGGAGGGGTGAGGCAGCACCGGCCTCTGCCAGATTCAGGCATTGCTTCAGCCCCTCTTCCTCACAAAGAGGGGGGACACATTGAGACAGCCCCCAAATACTTCTGAGAGCAGCAGGGGTGCCAAGGCAATGCTCACCCCAGTGCTCTTCCTGTACTCCAATGGATTCCTGCAACTTTCCAAGTCTGGAAGGCGATGGGCAGCCACAGAAGACTGTGCCGCTAGGTATCTGTCCTTTGTTTTGCTCCATCCCTTAATATCTGGCAGAACATAAAATATGCTCCGCCTGATCAAGTATACAGATAATTCTGTTGATCAACTTCTATCAGAAACATTGAGTCAATGGGCAATGAAGTAAGTTTGGAGAACAGTGTAAAAGGAGCACTTTACCAATTCAAAAATACAATCTACAAATGGACACAAAGGATTCTTCAGAAATAACATTCTTCCCTCTATCCTAAATGCAATGTTGCAGTGTATTTGCTCTGAAACGACGTTGCCAGCAAGAATGGAAATGTAACGATTCTATGGAGCTAGATGGTTATACAGTTTTCAGTATGTGCAAGACAGACTGAGCTACTCTTACATGGGCTGAGTGAGTTATTCTTACTATTCCTCCATTTACATTACAAATGATGCTTTGACAGAAAAGACAATCTGGGATGCATGAAAGAGGCATGCCTCAGATGCATAATTTTGGTTACTGGGCACACTATATAGCAAATCTGTTGATCAATGAATGCAGTGGAAACAGAAAACAAATGCAGAAGGTCTAGAAGACATAATGGCTTATTGATGTAGTTTCCTTATTTCCCCCACAGACATACTGAGTTTATGGAATGGGTGGACAATAACATGTGCCTTTCTTCTTTCATATTTTCATACTTATCTTTGCTTTCTGAAAATAAAGAACATGAAATAGAGAAATCAAAACCAGTTCCTAAAGTTCAAGGTGCATCAACTAATAACCATACAATAAGAACTCAAAGATACAAGCAGACTGGGAAGCTGCCACCTTTTGTCAACAACAGGCTGAACAGCAACCATTTCCAAACACACTGAAGAGCAACAATAAAATCAGGGTATGGCCAATGGGGATTATTGTCCTTTGCAGGGCATTGGCCCAGGTCAAGGTGTACCACATAACTCAATTGCAAAACAGTTACTCCAAAAGCTACCACAAATATTCCTGTAAGGAACATCATCCGGAAAAGAAGATCCTTCTGGAAACCATGTCGTATCTGCTGAGTCCTGTGACCAGCCCTGTTACTACTAGTTACCCCTTGCAGCAGCACTTGTGCCCTTCAGCTGTCTCAAACCTGAATCTCTTCTGCTTCCAGCTGGCACAGCCCATGCACAGGAATGCTGGAAGAATCATAGTGCAAGATGTCTGCAAGGCACCAGGTTGGAGACAGCTGGCCTAATGCATCAGACTTAATTTTAGACGTTGCATTTATATTAGCAGATCATTCTACATCTTTGTTAATCCTGAGAATCACCAGCTTTGCTAGTGGAGGGAAAGAAGAAGTTAGTATGAGGAAGGGACAGAAGTCTGCTAGTATGAGGGAAAGAAGATTCCTGCTGAATAACATTACTGGAGACTGTAAGCGCAGGAGTGGGTTGAAATATTGGGGATCAGCTCATTTCCTTAGGCAGCACTGGTAGGTAGCAGAAGCAAAGTATACTTACAATTCCAGAATCGTGCTTTTGTTTTATATTGTAAAGTGATTTTCCTTTTTTCTGTCTACATACTTCTTCAGCCTCTTTAAGTCTGCAACACAGTTAATTAATTCAACATATTAACATCACTTGTAAAGACAGAAAAACACTCAAAAGACACTTCCAGGGCAATATTATTCAATACTAGTCAACCTAATCCTGATAACATGCTGATTATGAATTAAAAGAAATATTTCAAGAAAATTCCATCTGTTACCATGAAGCATGCAAGCTGCAACACTTATGGTATACAGTTTTGATACATATTGGTCCATATTTAAGAATTAGACTGGATAATAATATTACTGTAAATGTACAGTAGTTTTAGTTGCTGTGGCATGTCTTTTATTCTTTGTGGTCTATTTACAGTGTGTACTCCCTTCTTTGACATTTTCTTATTATCTACGTTGTTTGCCTAATTATTGCATTTATTCCAAGATATCTTTGAAATGATGGAACATAAATCACATGTTTCTTTATCCATTTGTCTAAATTGTTAGGTCTGCTTGGAGTAGACACATTGGAATGAATGCAACTTAACTTAGACAATCATAGGTATAACCTAAATGAGAAAATCTTTTAGAGATAAAATCAAATTTGAACTATAATCTGTGGAATGATAATAGAAGTAGTTTTACCACTCTTACCACATGATTGTTTGGACTTATAAGTTCATTTTTTTTCAGACATGTAAGCCATTTGTTAACAGTTGTAAGGAAAGAAAGGAGCAATTCAGGAGACAGCATGTGCTGGATGCTTGCACTCCTGGAAACCATCTGAGACTCGTTTAGATGGAAAAATCTACAGCCTAGTCCAATACATACACAAAGAAAATACCAAAGCTGCACAGGAAAAGTTATCCCTCTAATCTCCCTAAAGACCAGACGGTGTTGGGAAAATGGACCACTGAATAAATGTGTCATAAGGACTATACTGCTCTGAAATACTGAAAGGGCACAAAGGGCAAATTCACACAAATTTTAATTATAGGTTGTATACTCCGGTTACTAGAGACAAAGATTCCCGCAATGCCAAAGACAATGTCTGTGGAATAAATGCAGAAGGAACTCAGATAGGCTTGTATTGCCATTTTGTGCTTGCTTCTCTGGAGTGTGGTGCACACTAATAGTTGAGCCATACGCCCTTTTTCTTTTTAAATGAGGCCTCTCTAATCTAGTTGGCTTGAGCAGCAATTGGAGGAACCCAGCCAGAGCTACAAAAGTAGGGCAGGCTTGTGAGAGAGACCGTCTGTATGACCACAAGGGCAGCTCAGCCTATGAAGCATCTCAGACCCCGTGACAACATGCCAAGAGAAACTGACTAGGTAGGTGTCTAGGGCAGTCAGGAGGAGGGCAAGGAGGCTGAGGCAGCAAGGCACCCTCCTTTCCAAGTAAATAAGCCCACTAATTTTTAAAAAAAGTCATAAAGGAAGAAGGTCAAAAGTGGTGCTCCAAGTGAGGGCAGCCACTTAATTCACCTGAAGGCAAGGTTGCGGACATGAAGAAGCTACGGGATGGACCGGATTTGGGATGCGGCCACTGGGAAGATGGGGTAGTGACATCCCTCTCCCAGAGCAACAGGTGCTCTACTCTCATGGAGAATGAAGGACTCTGGGAAGGGAGAGGCAAATGCTGCCTTCAGAAATAGTAGTACTTTGGAATGTGCTTCCCAGAGAGGTCTGCCTGACACCAATGTTACACTCCTTCTGGCACCAGATAAAGACCTTTTTATTTAACCATCATTTTAATAATCAAGGGTTTTAGATGTTTTAAGATTTCTTTTCTTTTTCCTCTCCCCACAGTCGCATTTTCTATTCTTTTCCTCTCTTTTCTTTCCTAAGTTCATGATGTGTTGTTTATATTGTTTTAATAATTGAGGTTTTAAATTGGAATTTTATATTGTGTAAGTCTTCCTGAGCACTTGGCAGAAGGACGGGATATAAATGTTTGTAATAAACAAACAAACAAACTGGGCACTACCTGGTACCCTCCTGTGCCAAGGATGTGCTTCCTGGGAGCTGGAATGTTCTGGTAGTGGACAACTTCACCTTACAAACACGGAGAACTGAGTTTGTGAGGGACATGTAGTCCACCTGCCAGATTTGAAGACTGCATATGGTGCTTTTCCCCTAGATAGCTGGTTGCAATGCTGGGGAAGGGACTCTGGCTCAGCAGCAACAGTGAGGTACAAAATGGTGGTGCCAAAAGCTAAATTAAAAGGGGAAAAGCGAGGCTTCTGAGGTTGCTTTTCTGAAATGCTGCCTGTTCCACGTGGAGGGGCAGCAGGACAGGTGGACCCAACGGACGAGCTGGTGGTGCCAGGAAAAGGGGCTCAGCTAATGAAAGGGGCAGGTTTCACGATGGAGCGGTGTTAGAAGTTGGCTCTTCCAAGGTTCTGCGTTGGACCCAATGGTGTGCTGCTTGTTCATAAATGAAATTAGGGGTGAGCCATGAGGTGGCCACATTTGCAGATGGCAACAAATTACTTAGGAAGTCCAAAAAGAAAAAGGAGCTCTCCAAACTGGGACATGTGGGATTAAAAATGACACATTTCATTCACTGTAAAAAAATTTGAAACATTATGTCTGTTGTGGCAAATGGGCAGATGGTTCTAAGCTGGCATTAATTTATCAAGAAAGTGATCAGTGGAGGCCAGGGTGGCTCACTCAGTGGAAGTCTTGATTCAGTGTTTAGCTGTGGAAAAGGTGAATCATGTTAAGCACCATTACTATAATGTACATCCATAAATGCATCCATGGCCTATCACACTCAGAATACCAAGAACAGTTCTGATTGCCAGACCTCCAAGAGGAACTGTGAAAGTTGGAAATGGCGCTTAAAAGAGAAACCAAAATGACTAGGACTGGAGCAACTCCCTGTGAGGCAAAGTTACGATGTTTGGGGCTAACTGGTATAGAAAAAGTGGTGAAACATGAAATAGATAACATTAAAAGGTAGCATAAAAGCAGCAATGTGTGAAATGTTGTTTGGAATCGCATTACTTCTTGCTTTCACTGTCATTGTTGGCTAGAAGAGAAGAACCACTGAGGGAATGGGTCAGAGTAGCCCATAGCAAGATATGTTAAATTTCAGAAACATTGGAAGATCTTGATACAAGAGTAGTAGTAACATTTTCCCTTGCAAACTACATGCAAATCCAAGCCATAATATCATAAGTCACCAGCTTGTTGCATCTGCAAATGTGATGTGGCTCTAAACTGCAGTCTTGTAGTTACCCATAATTTAAAATGATCTCACCCAAGGAAAAACTGTTCCTAAAACCGTGCATAACATACGTTGAAAAACTCATAATGGAGAAAGTTTGGAAATGAATCCCTATCTAAAAATCCTCGCCCCAGCAAGTCCTCCCTTACACTATCAGGTTAAACTTTGAGAAGCATCTCAGGTTCTCTCCCTTAGCGTGCAATTCACCATTACAAATGCGTAATGTAGGCTATTTAGGAATTAATCTGTTAGCTTTTTAAGGTTGCCTTTTTATCCCATGTATTGTATCTGCACCTCTATTATTAATAAAGCCTTTAAGTTTAAGGCTTGAAGTTTGTACAAGTTTAACAACCTGCATACCAGATCTCACTTTCACGCTACAGGCTTTAAGCAAGGGAGCTGGGGAAAATCAGTTAATCTCACTCTGCACGGAGTGGGGAGTTAGCTGGTAGCTGCTTCCTCCCAGTTCGAAGATCAGCCCCTCCATTTTTAAAGTTCCTGTCTATCAATGGCTCGGGTGCAATGGAGGCAAACACAAGCAGGAGCAGTGCAGGCTGGTTGCCCTTTCAGAGCAACTGGCCATTCCACACACTCACCTCCTGGAATTTGAATAGATGACTTACAAAATGATATACATATTAATACATTTACATTAACACACCTATCTCACACACAGGAATAGTTTTTAAAAGTTCTTAGCTGGTTATGAAGCATACAGTCCCTAACATTTTCAAATGTTCTGACTCTGAATAAAATGTGGATAGATAGTAGAAGCTTAATCTAAACAAAGAGAACTGTTCCTTGCTTCCATCACAAGTTGTATCCTTCCACACACCATTTTACTTTCCTAACCCTCTTCTTTATTGTCAGGCAAATGTATACAAAATGTTCGCCATGATTTAAGTCTGAAAACAGTTTGCAGGATGAAGAAGATAGATGCAGGGAAAAGAAAGCAGACGTTGCTACAAAATCATTTTATCTACCTTCTATACCAAACACTACCCTCACTAGGGGCTTATCAGGAGAAAATTTCTTCCATCCTTCAACCCAATGGGAAAGGAAGCCATTTCCCTGCCACTGAACATTAATAATTTTGTCTGAAGAAGTCGCTCTGTTAGACAGATTCATTTTCCACTGGCTCCAAGTAGGCTTGGGGCAGATACCTTTACACTTTGCCTGAGTTTAGCAGGACATGACTAATTGAAACAGACTGACAAGCCTGGAATGTTCATGTGCTTGGTAGTGACGTGGTCATGACAAGCCTTCCAACAATAATCTATGGAGTAGCCAGCGTGACTCTTTTGAAAAATATACTTCCAGAAGTTGAACACCAAATGTATCTGCTTATTCAGTACTTTCTGGAAGAAAATAGGAATCCAACCACTGCAATTTTAAAACACAGCATGGTTTCTCTTTGCTTTTAAAACTAAATGATTTAAACAGTCTACACTGATTTCTCAGGGTTTATGATAAGAGGGAGGTTCACTTTTTTCAATAGGTATTGAAGATTTGCTCTTAAAGTGTTAAGCTCACCAATAAACTCACATCTACTTTTATACCCTAATGACTCAAATATGGTACACTAACATTGGTCATGGTAATAAACACAGGAGTTGTCTTCTGTGACATGAGCCAGCTTTTTCCAACCTGGTACCTTCCAGAATTCCCATCATTCCAGGCAGCGTGTAGTCCAACATCCCCAGAGGCCATCAAATTGAGAAGGTTCTTATCCTTCACTTTGTTTTGGCAATCATAATTGTCACACATACAAAAGACTTCATTCAATGATCATGATGCTACAAAGCTGGGGATAAAGCTTGGCCACAAA